TGGGGTGTGAAGACGGCTGACCACTTCCGAAACATTCTTCACGTACGGAAGAGCCCACCAAGCGTTTGGACCAGCTGGACGTGGCTTCTTCTCTCGTTTGCGTATGCTTTGGTTCAAAAAATTGCGCAGGTAACCAACCAATGTCAACCAATGCATACGCAAACGAGAGAAAAAGCCACGTCTAGCTGGTCCAAACGTTTGTCGGGCTTATTTAGAGCTAGTTACTGTCTCAACACCAGAAGAATCCCCAAATAACAAGTCTGGGAAGACTAATTGAACTCGAACAACTTTACTTATCAAAAAGCTGTACAGTGACGCCGCGTTCGAAAGCCAGCCGTGCAGGTGCAAAAGTGTACAGGTGACAAGTTTAGGTTGTACAATGAGTAATCAGTCGGCTGGCACCGATCAATTGAGGCAGGAATATAGATTTGCTACAAGCGTAAACGCGGTGATTTGAAATCAAGCGTGTAGAAGGGCAATAATGGGCAGCGAGCAAAGCCCAGCGTAGCATGAATCAGTACAGTTGTTCTGGGCGACGAATTCCTACAGTACCCCCCCCGCAAGACCGAGGGCGATGGTAATCGACGCCGAAGACAGAGATGATGCCTAAAGACATGTGTAACATAACGGTCTGGGAAATGAACATGGCGTTCATAACGAGTGATGTAAACAGTAGGAACAGTTGGAGAGGGCTGAGTGGTTGCTACGGTTGTGGAGGATGACATAGTAGTTGGGTGTTGGGAAGCTGTAGGGAGGGGAAGTATACGGGAAGATGAGATTGCGGGGCTGGAACCGGGAAAAAGAAGGAGCACGGGATGGAGGAGCATGGGATAGGGAATCAGCACGATGTTGTCCTGGTGGCAAGTCCGGCGGCTCTTCCGCAACAGCAGCCTTAACCCGATCGATGCTGACCACGTCCTCCTTGTCTCCACGAAGGATCCGGTAGGTTTTGTCAGTGCGGGAGAGAACACGAAACCGTCCTTTGTAGGGTGGCTCCAGGGGTTTCCACACCTGGTCGCAGCGTACAAACACATGTGTGCAGTGGGCCAGGCCTTTCTCGACATAAGGCTTGGTCGCTGGAGTACGAGGCTGGACAGGAGAAAAGGAACGCATAAATTGTCGGAGACGATGAGCAAAGTTGGCAGGTGTTTCTTCAGGGCCACGTGGAGTCGGACTGACCATCGCGCCGGGCAGGCGGAGAGTTGTGCCAAACACCAGCTCGGCCGCGCTGCAATACAGGTCCGAGCGGATTCCGAGAAGTAAAAGAGGTATGTTGTCTGACCAGTTTCCTGGATCTTCGGCAGCTCGCAGGGAAGCCTTGAGTTGTCGATGAAATCATTCCACCATACCACTGGCAGCGGGGTGGTTGGCTGTCCTCCGGATACGAGTGCAATCAAGAAATTTGAGAAGGGTGTTGAAAAGTTCGGACTCGAACTGGGCGCCGCGATCAGTGATAATGGTAGATGGCGCACCAAAAGCGGCGACCCAACGACTGACAAAGGCCTTGACGATGGTTTCCACCTGCACGTTCGGCAAAGGGGTGGCTTCGGCCCAGCGAGTATAGCGGTCGGCACAAGTAAGAAGATGAGTATAGCCATTTGATGGAGGCAACGGACCTACGACATCAAGATGGACATGGCTGAATCGAGCGTCGGGGCTGGGAAAAGTGCCGGGTGCAGACTTATTGTGGCGATGAACCTTGCTCCAATGGCAACACGGGCAGGAGCGAGCCCAAGCCTTGACATCCTTGTTCATGCCAGGCCAGACGAACCTTTCCGCGAGAAGCTTTTGTGTGGCTCGAATCCCAGAGTGGACGAGTCCATGAAGAGTTTGGAACACAGCTCGACTCATCAAGGGCGGCACAAAAGAGCGGTGAAAAAGATTCAACACATCACAAAGAATGGTGCCATTCCCAGTAGTGAGGGGAACATCCGCAAGCTGGAGACCAGTGACAGCTTCGTCGCCGGGACAGCCAACCCGTTTTCGCTCCACCGCCATAGCACCAAGGTCGATTCCCTGTGAGAGTTGAAGGGCAGA